GAGCCCAACCCTATATAACACCAAGAGGGCTCATTGTGGCATGGAATTCCTCGGGCACAGTGAAGGGGGCTCTGAAATTCCCACCCACCAACATTTGCTCTTGGTTATGTTGCTCGTTGTTCTTGATGCAGTCAATTCATTTTGCAGGTATCACCAGGTGTTCTGTGACTCACACGGCACTGTGAGATAGCATGTGTGGATCCAGATGTTTTCCTTCTAATCCAGACAACCTGAATAAACCTGAAATAAATTATTAACCTGTGTTGTCCCAGCAAAATGTTCAGAGTTAAAAAAACCAAAAGAATTCTGGAGCGGTCTGCCCCACTATTCCTATTTATTTTCTTTTCTCCTAATTTATGATACAGAGATTCACTGTGCATGAACAGGCAAGACCTACAGACATTTTATATATGAAAGATGATGACCTTTATGAGATGACAAAAAAACAAAGAGCGATTTCCCCTGTAACTTGTGTAATATTTTCAGATGCTTCCCACAGACTTTCCAGAGACTAGCACTGCTCAACTCTTCCCTGTGTTTTAGACAAATTAAAATTTACCTTTTTTCTTTTGGCAAAAGTAGAACCCTAAGTTTTAGTCAATATTGAAGTATATAGGAAGATTTTGTTACCTGGTATTTATCCAATTGGCTTTTTTTTTTCTTATAAATAGACAAATAATTAAAAAAATAAAAAAGATGTAAATAAAGTTCAAGTTAATGCAACAGCAAAACCTAAGAGAGCAATATACATTGGGGGTAAATAAATAGCTGACATTTTTGCTGATATCTTTTTCTGTTCTATTTTTCATTCTACAGAAGGAGAATGAAATTTTCCTTTCCACTCACAAATCTTTTCCTTCATCTACAAAAATCAGGTATCATAAAATACTATTGAAACCTGCCTCTGCTGAGAAAAACAAAATCAAAGCAAACTCTGCTTTTTCTCTGAAGCATCTCATTGTAATATTCCTTAATATGTCAGCAGTCACCCACACATTCATCCAGAACTGGATTCTGTAAGCTTGCCCTATTTTTCGGTATTCATTTCACAACTTATAGCTGCAATCTCTTGTGGCCCAAAGTTTTCAGCAGACATCACTGGTTTAATCTATCTTTGTTAAAATTAAAAAGTTTCTTTACAGTCATCAGTGAAAGTTCTTGAAATATTTGTGCTAGAGTAGTCAGCTAAAGCAATTAGGCAGTTCTGTAAAGATTCCCCCCAAATCCCATATAGATTTGGGACAGTTTTGACTGTTTCATCTGGATTATTCCTGAAGTATTTCTCACTCTATAATGATGCTTCTGCTCTTTCCAGCTGCTATTTCATTATTAAGGGAAGAATTACACGGTTTTTCATGAATCCATATAAAGTTCATTTTTATAAAGATCAAATCTGATCAAGCACTATCAAGACAACCTTCATAGGCCCATGTCCATTTACACCCAGCTAGAAGACATTTCCTTGTAGTTCAAATAAGTATTGCTCAAAATATCTGTAGCTATGTGGCATCACACAGACCTTATATGATTCATCAGCTTGTGACTCTCTGGAGTTTCTAGCTTGTATGATTTAGATCACTCATAAAATAGTTACTTAACCATCAATAGGAAATAAAAAAAAAAAAACAAACCTACAAAAACCCCAGGTTTACTTTCGGGTGTAACTGATTACAGATGAAATCCAATAACATGAAATAATGAAAACCTGCTTTCTTTAGGCGGTCCCTGTCTCTGTGTACTGTTACAGCTGCAATAAACAGTTTGCTTTTCCTGACTTGCATGAGCTGAGGAAGAGTTCAGGGTCTTGGTTACTGCTGCAGTAACATCTAAGGGCTCAAACCGGAGATATTTCAGGTTTTTTGCAGATTATTATTCCACATTTGTCTTGTTGTTGGTACTTCCACTAGTGTATAGGTCTGTTTATTTTCTTTCTGACCTGTTTTACTGCTCACTCACAGTTGAAAGATCTCTCCATTCCCAGATCCTGAGGTTTCTCAGGTTCTGTAGAGTGCTCTTTAAATTCCTTTTTCATTTCACCTAAATTATGAAATGATTCACTGTATTTTGGGAAAGGAAGGGTTCTGTGCAGTCTGGATTGATACACTTTTCACACATGCTTTTCTCATGTGACTTACAATATGAACAGATTTTTCTCTAACATTGTGTGTAATATATTTTTTGCAGTCCTTGGGTTTGTAAATGTAGAATTCACTGTCAATCCATTTCCTTTCCTCAAAGTCAGAGTACACAGATCTGAAGAGGAGAAGGAGGTAAATCAAATGCACAGCTTCAGAAGAGTGATGTTAATTCCTTTGCTAGATCATTATGATTATATGAAGTACAGCATCTTTGTTTGAAAAAATTCAGAGGTACCTTGAAATTTAGTGTTCTACAGCTTAAGCTTATTTTAAACTCACTACAGAATTCTAACATGATGATTAGTACTGCACAGAACTTCTGATTCATGTATACTTCTACTATAGAAGAAAATTGCTGTGAACTTGATTAAGGTTTGAAGTAAGGAAACAGATACAGGGCAATTTGAACTTCTTGACATCTTCTGAACCAGTGTTAGAAAAAATACATACTTCTAGAGATTAATGCAAGTAAATATCTTCATATCTGTGGAAATAAGACATGGTTTTCTGGTGCATAGAAGCAAACCCCGAATATTTCAGCAAGGGTTCTACCTCTCCTTTCCCTCTTGAGTAGTGATATCGAATTTGTGCATTTATACCTCCCGTCTCTGGCAAAACTCCTCTGTATTCTTGTGCCTCCTGAAGACTTATTAAAATACTAATGTGGGAGCATATCCAATTACCCTCTCCCATTGCATGTGTGCAGTTGCTCCATGTCTAAGCAGCACACATTCCTGTTTATTATCCCATCATGGGAATCACTGTCCCAGAGGCTTGCCTCATCTCCTGTGCCTGATTCCCCATTCACTCTCCCTGTGGATTAATGAATTCTGAGATGAGGCCCTTTGGGAAGTATGACAGTGTGTTGTGAGAGCTGGCCTTCGAGCTGGAACATCAAGGATTTTATAGCTGACTTTTACATGGGCAGACAGTTTCTCTGAAGGTTTATATCCAGAAAACTTGAATTACATTAGAAACATTTGCAAGTTTTAGCTGTTTGGAGCTGTACTACATGGTGACATATTCCAGTGCTCATGGGCATAGGATTGGTTTTCTCCTTGCACTGGACAGGAGCAGTACAAATGTGTTTCACCAGAGAAGATGGGTGACTTTCTGCAGATGCCTTGCATAGACTGATCAGAAGAGAACCTGCAGTGTTCAAGTGGATGAACTCTAGTTTCTAGAGTACATTAATTTCATTCAAAAATGGGATGTAGGAAGAGTTGAGAGCATTCTCTTTAAAAAAAACTATTATTTCTGTGTAATAACTAATACTCCTGTTTTGTTCTCATAAATCAAAATTCCATTTCAATAATCATCTGGAAATCCAGACTGAATATTGTGTGGTGAAAATGCATTTCTTAGCAGAGTAAACACCAATTTAAGATTAATATTTATTCTGGGAATGCCACTTTTGAAAGATATAAGACCCGTGAAATATGCTTAAACTGGAAGAAGTTTTTCTGCTGAAGTTTCAGAAACTCTGTTATCATATTGAATTTCAGTTTACTTTGGTAGTAGTTTGTGGTGGGAATACAGCCATGTCTGGAGTGCTGTGTCATGCTGAGAACTCAAAGGACTTAATACCAGCAAGAATTGTTCCAACAGTGCAGATTCAAGCGTTGTTCAGTTCTAAATAGCAATGGGCCTGAAATATGTCCCTAGATGAGAATCTGAGTGGAAGTGCTTCCCTTTACTTTAGCAGCCTAAAAATCGGTTGTTAAGGCAAATGCTTCTCTGTTGCTATGGACAGAATTTACTGACAGCTTTTTTCTTACAGCTGATTGATAGGCTGTTTCCAGAGGTGGAATTATTGTCCTTACCTGCGTGGATAGACCTGAGATGTCTCCAGTTGTTACAGATAGGTATGGGGCTTTGTGTGTAACGTTTTGCACAAGGCAACATACTTCAGCTGTAGTTCAAATGTCCACAGGAAACTTCAGGAAGTTGTAAATGTATATAATTGGCATGAAGATTAATTCAGTTCAAATGGAAGCTGACTGATTAAAAACTTTGAGTTCCAGTATCTTATAAAAAATAAATTGCCGAAAGGTGATACTTGTTCCTCTGCATCCTTTGATTATTTTGCACGATCAGTAGGAACTCCTGATTGAAGGGTGGGCAGTGAGGTGCTGTGTTCCATTGTGCTTGCTTTCTTTAGGAAGCAGTGGGTTTACAATTGAAAAGTCAGCTTTGTTTATGAAACTCTGGTGTGTACAGTGCCAATTTGCTGGTTTTTTTTTTCCTCTTGGCTCTTTCCTACCTTTTATCTTTAAAACTAATGTTTAATATTGTTAGATGCAGACCGTGTGTGCAAGCACAGAGTGAGGGGACAGAGAGGGGAGTGAGGAAGGGGCCACTTTGTTGTCGTGGCCCGGGCTGGGCACAGGTTCTGTCTGCAGTCGCAGGGCTGCCCTGTGCCGGCCGTGGCTGCTTGGCACAGGGCTGCTGCGGCTGGCAGCGTGGTCTGTCCTCAGCAGCAGCCACCGCCTCGGCATCGCCGGCTGGAGCTCGCTGAAGAGCTCACGGGGATGCTGCTTAGGACTCCTGCCTGACCTTGGAGTAGCACCCAAGTCCTGGAACGCTGGGTAGGTTCCTTTTCTTCGCTTTGTAGCCACTGAGTAGAGCTTTGGTTGTTGCTGACGGCCTCTGGCTTCTTCAGAGTGCCAGTCTACAAAGAAAAATAACGCTACATAGAAATAAATGCCTCGGTCTGCCTCTCTGGGCGAGAAGGTAGTGTGTGGAGAAATGGTCCCCAAGCGTACAACTGGCTCTAAGTGGCTCAGCTGCTTTTCTGCATTTGAGTGACAGTGGCATTAAGGCAGCACAGAATCCCAACTATTCATCTTTTCTGGGTAGAGCAGCTGTCTTTCAGTGACAGCTAGAGGGATGCAGCTCCCCTCTATGACACTGATGTCAGGCAAGCTAAGATAGGAAGGATAATAGGTTCATGCATAGAGGATTACATTATTTCCTTTACCTAAACAACTGACTAAGGTAAGAGGTAAATATTTATTTACCATCTAGAGATAATATATACTTTTTATCATTTAAATTAAAAACAGAGTTTTTAAAAATAGTAGATAAAATCTGATTTTACCCCATCTGTATATTTTAGAAATACATTAATGTTCCAGGTAAATAATTAAATCGGAAAGATTATTATTACAGTAATTCCACTTAATTAATACTAGGAATATATGAGCTGAGAAGAGTTAATGAAATGCTAAATATTTTCCTTTATCCCCAGTCCATCTCCTCTCATCTCCCCCCATCTCCCTTACCCATAGTTTTTAGATATAAGTTGTGTATATATCCTGCAAGAAAACTAAAGGTTAAGTTTTTGTTTAGGATGGAAGTGTTAGCTCCTGAGAAGAAAACACATGAAAAGAATGAAGATTTGCAACAGTATCCTCAGAAGCCTGCAAGCTGTAAGAAAATGCTTAGGAATTGCTGCTTGATAAAGCGAATTTTTGCCTGGAAAAGTTTGAGCTCCAAAGGTACCTTTTCTATTGAAAATTTTAGTGTAGGAGAAATCGTTGTCCTTCCAAGAATTCTGAATTTTTGATACAATGGTATTACTGAATTTAACATCAGTCAAGTTACAGGTACAAAGAATCTCTGCTGTCTTGAGTCTATTGTGCAAGAAGATTAAAAATGGTACAGCTTTGATTGAGGTGCTTTATCATAATGTGATAAAAATAATTGTACTGCATGAGTATTCATTTTGCAGCACATAAAAATACATGGTCTGCAGGAAAAAAATCCTTCAGTCAGAAGATAAATGAGTAAATGTAAAATCCCATCAATTACATGTATCAATTTATCAGGGCCCAACCCAAAATTCTGTTTTGATAAGCAAAACCTCCTTTCATTGTTGTCAGAGTATATTTGCATGGAAATTACATGATTAATCCCTTTGTCTTTGAGGAAATGGAGAAAGGCAGCATTCTGTCACATTTATACATAATGATGTTATGTACTGTATTTATTAATAAGTACTGAAAGAAATGCTTCTTTTTAAAATTAGAAGTTGGCTGTGAAATATCTCACTGTTGAAAGTTGAACTCTTTTATGAATAATAAATTAAACAACTGTCCTGAAATGATGGTTAATCTGCTTCACATTATTTCCCTCAGGAACATACAAACAGTTAAGAATTTTATTCACCACAGATTCCTCTTTTTATCACTGTATTTTTACTTTGCAGTATTATGTAAATACAGAAGAAAAAACACTGCCCCAAACAATTCTTTTGCATTTTGGCAGCATTTTTCATTCCCTTGTACACAGTTTATGACAGAAACAAACAACCAACAAACCCCAAACCAAGTCCTAAGTATATCCAATTTGTGTCAAACAGAATAAAAAAAATGCATGACATTGCTTTGTCATGAAGAGCTAAGTCACCATAACCTGAGTGTGTGATATGTTACTTTATTTACACATTTACTTTCAAGGCTATGCTCTAGTAGCTTAGTTCCAGCTTTTAGAAACAATGCTCTAGTTAAATACGACCTACCTCTGGTTTTAAACTGCACTGATCTCTGCATTGGCCAAGTAAAGAAGTGCTTCATATGCCTTTTAATCTAAGCATTACATTTAGCTATTCTCAGCCACTCATCTTTAAAGGTTTAAATTAATTTTTCAACAAATGGCTGCTTTAATCAAATGCATATTACGGTTTGCTAAATACATGTTTGATTTCCTACTGTTGTATCAGGTTTTACCTATAGTTTGCTGCACTTTTAGGGTTTTTTGTATTGTTACTGGAGCTAATGAGGCAAAAATAGTTTTTCTGTAACTCTTTCAGAACACTCATCCTTCTGTTCATGCGAATTTTTAGAATTTTTTTTTCCACTGGATTATTTATCATCAATCTTGGTAGCTTGAAGCAATCATCTCTCTAGAAATGATGGGTGAATCTAAAGCAAACTGCATTGAAGTTTATAGGTCTGATTCTTCAATACCTTCAAACTGGCTAATAATTTACACCTCCAAAAAGGGTCTTAAAACAATCAATAGGTGATGATAGAATTAAGGATTTATTTTATTTTGGTAAACTGAATTAACAGACAGATGAATCAGTGTAAAATTGGGCTCAGTTAAGTTACTCTGGGTTACTCTGGCAGAGACAAAATCCGAATCTGACACGTAGTTAGCTCAAAACGAAGCTATTATTTTTGCTTTATGCAGTACCAAATGATAGAAAATGTATTCCCATAGGGATACCTTTACAAGAAGATTTGAATATTTATTAGGATCAAGAAGACAGACATTCTGAGGTACTTCCTTCAGTACTGTGCTGCTGTCCAGGTGACCTGACTGGTCAAATAGGTTTTGCTGGACTGCAATGATAGAGCATTCCTAGTTCTCATGGCACTGCTGTAGGAACCAAGAGCATGTGGCTACAGAGCTGCTTGCTCAGTACCTGTTTCCTGTTGGAAGAATGAGAGTGGGTTTGAAAATCATATTGTGGTGGCTATTTCCCACTTAGATGTTCTTTTACACAAATCAGATTCCCCATTGGTTATCTTAAGCTAACATAAAGTGGTAAAGTGGTATAAAAAGTAGTCATTTGGCAGTTGAGGCTTGCAGTTTAGTATTTAAAAAATAAATGAAAAATTTTTTTTTGTATTTCTAAAAAAGTCATGATAGCTTTAAATACCAGATTATTTGGTAATTCATTGCCCTTTTAACAGTTTGCAGCTGGAAATGCTGGAAAGTAATGGATATTTGATCTTTCTTTTCAGATACTATTTCTCCTCTACAATTCATTTTTCATGTTTTAGTTTATTTGTATAATCTTCCAGTAGAGTTTGTCAACATGTTTTAGCTTCATAGAATTAATTATTCTTTCAGAAACAATTTCCATGTATGAATTTGGAGCAGGAAAATAAATATTTGATTTACTGCAATGTTCGGATGATTTAACTCTATTTTCAGAATGGAAAATCTTCACTCCTATGATAAAATTTTGCAATATCGTCACCCTGGGGATGTCTTCCTGTTCTCCTTGTTTCAAAATCTGGGAATAAGAAGAATGTTATTTCATAAATACTGGAAAGATAATTGTACTCAACCCTTTTTGATGCAGGATTTAAGCAGCATGGATTCAATGCATGAGTGCATCCTCAAGATGATCAAGAGAATTTAAAAAAAAAGCACCTTCTTGTATTTCAAAGAAAAGTAAATGAAATAACATGGTTGTCAATGGGAAACGTTTTCATACTAAACCCAGTATTTTAATCAATGCTCAAGGCTTGGTAATTTGGCTAATTCCATCAGACAGTAGTATCAAAGAACAGGTATCTTGTTACGGAGGCCAGAGGAACAGACTGTGACAGTGCCAGGAATGCATCAGTGAGAGCTTGATGCTGCAATAAACTCTGAGCCCAAGTTTAAAGGATGTGTTGAAAAAAATTGGATTTTAAATGCTCAATTTCGAAAAGGGGCAGCCCTGAAGTATCCCCTCACTAAATTGACAGCCTCCTCAGCTAACCTAGGGCAGTTATGAATCTTTCATAATCATTCTGTGCGATGAATGTACATTTGCTGCAGATTTTGTACAATGCAAATGAGAGACACCAAGAGGACAGCAAGTTGTCATGAAGATAAATTTGGAGGCATTGCACTGCTGACTCTGCATTTCATACTGCTAAAAATATTATACATCATCAACTGTTTATTTAGGTTTTTTGCATTGTGTTTCCTCATATCACATATTTATGAGTTGAGGTATGAGTGCTTTAGGAATAATCCTAAACTGTCAATCATTGTGTGTGTTTTTCCCTGTCAAACAGTACATTTGACAAAGTATATATGGAAAAAATAGCCCAAGTTATTTCTGAGCTAGTTAAAATTCTGCTCTGCCTAGGATACTTCATACTGTCTCAGACCTTAAATAGCTCAAAAAAAATTCCTGCTGAAGGTTGTCTGTACCAGATTTTTAAATATGGACTTTGTGTGACCAGGGTAGTAATTTGTCTCCTGTGGCCCATTTGCCTTTGCTTGTCCTATGCAAATAAGTTGACCATTGCTTTGAAATCTAGTCACATCTCATGGTCTCTCAAAGACCATGAACAACTTTCCCCCCTAGTTGTTAAAAATTAACAAAATTGTTTATTCATATAGGATAGGGGTCTTTTGGACTGAAATACTTTTCCAATGTCTCTCAGCATTACTTGCTGTGTGCTTTTCTTTTGAGCAGTGAAGTGATGAGGCAAAGACAATATGTAAGGTAGAAAGTGATGACATCAGGATTAAATACAGGATTTGCATTCCACTGTCAAAGTCCTCAACTGCCTTAATTAGAAAGTATCATGACTCATGAAACAGGATTTTTTTACTAACTTGATTACTGAAGCGAAAACATCTATTTTGTTTGCTTGTGCATGGAGTGATATTTCCTGAAATCTGCCTGGTCCTAATTAACCTTCCCTACAGGAAAAATATGAAATAAATGGTGTAGGTAAAAGTGTCAGAAAAAACCCAATAAATAATAATATTCAGTGTCAGGAATACTATATACTTTTGACTTCATTCCTTTGTCCCAATAGCTGCTCTTTACTAACAGTCCTCTCCTAAACCATAGCTGATATACGGTTCAGATTTTAACACGTCCAGTAATTGAATTTTTATGGCCTGTCAGATGTGTCATTTTTTATCTCCTGTCATTTCAAACTAAACCCTGTAGTTTTTGTGGGTTTTTTTTCTCCTCAGCTTTCTCACAGATGCTTTGAGCATTGTTTGGTTTCTGTTGAAGTCACAGATTTACATGAGTTGACCTTTTTGTGGGCACTAGGAAACATTTGTCCTATGTGCCTAAACAACTGAAGTTCACATGGCTTTGAAATTTTGAGTCTGAAAACCTCCAAGAGAAAAAACGAGGTGGGAAGGGAAGAGGGAAGAAAAAGAAGTAGGGATTGAGAGAAAAGTTGTGGAGAGAACGAGGACTGTGTCCCTTGCCAAATCCACTTCTCCTTTCCATTCTAAGTGCTCAGCATGTAGATAATTAGATCATAATGTTTTGCAATACTTCTTGAATGCTGAAAAAGGAGAATTTGAGTCTATTACTGCTTGTATTAATGACTAAAGAGATTAACATATCTGAGATTTTATGCTCTGAACACAAACATAGAAATTTATTTAAAAATAGAACCTTTAATAGTTTTAGGCAATACAGAAATCTTTATTTTGTAAAAACTACAAAAAGAAACTTTTTTTAGAATTTAAAACAAGCAATATTTAGCCCACTTCATCTATTTGAAATATTTATTAAAATGTTTTATGATTTGATGCTGCTGCTCTTGGTATACATGTTATTCTGAAGTAAATTTGCTACCCAGAACCTAGACCCAGGAAAACTTAGAGGGAAAAAAGCTTATTCACTTCGTGTCTTTGAAGGATATTTTTTTCACAATTAGTGAACATTGCTCAGTATTGCTTTGGGTATTTTTTAAATTACAATGAACTGTGAATTAGCACTGTTTTCTTATTT